AATATTTGAAGAGATTTATTCTGAGCCAAATCTGAGTGACCATGGCCAGAGACACAGTCCTCAGGAAGTCCTGAGAACATGTGCCCAAGGCAATCTGGGCACCACGCCAGGCGCAGTGGCTCAAGCCTGTAATCCCAGCACTTTGGGAGGCCGAGGTGTGCGGATCATGAGGTCAGGAGATCGAGACCATCCTGGCTAACTCGGTGAAACCCCGTCTCTACCAAAAATACAAATAATTAGCCGGGCGTGGTGACAGGCGCCTGTAGTCCCAGCTACTCGGGAGGCTGAGGCAGGAGAATGACGTGAACCTGGGAGGCGGAGCTTGCAGTGAGCTGAGATTGCGCCACTGCACTCCAGCCTGGGCGACAGAGCCAGACTCCATCTCGAAAAAAAAAAAAAAAAACAAACAAAAAAACACATTGGTTCCGTCTAGAAAGGTGGGACAACTCGAAGGTGGAGCGGGGAGGTTCCAGGTTAGAGGTAGATTCAAATGTTTTTTATTGACAATTGGTTGAAAGAGTTATCACTAGAAAGGAATGTCTAGGTTATAAGGGGTTGTGGAGACCAAAGTTTTATCATGCAGAGGAAGCCTCCAGGTAGCACGCTTCAGAGAGAACAGATTGTAAATGCCTCTTATCAGACTTAAGGTCTGCGTTGACGTTTCATGCTGGTCAGCCTTTGCTGAATTTCAAAAGGGAGGAGGACATAGATGAGGCATGTCCACCCCCAACCCCCCCCACCTTCTCTTCACAGCCTGAACCAGATTTTCAGGTTAACTTTGGGTTGCCCTGGCCAAGAAAAGGGGTCCATTCAGATGGTTGGGGGAGTGGGCTTAGAATTTTATTTTTGGTTTACACTATTTTCAAGCTTTTAACACCATGAGCCATATTCTGCCAGGTGTGGCCCTGGGGAGGGGCCCCTTACCATGTGACGGGAGGTGCTACCACGGCTAGGCAGCTACTCGCCATCAGGCCACAGAAGAGCCTCTTGGACCTAGGGAAGGACCTGTGAGACTCTATGAAGAGGAAAAGTCAGTTTTGAATCAAACCCATTTTATAAATAAGAAAAATTAGAAAACTCTTCTCAGAAGGTGGTGGGGGTTGAGGAGGGGGACCCAGGGGCACCTAAAGGCTAATTCTTGCTAGAGTCATTTACATTTTAACTTAAATTTTCTAATGTTGTGAATAGACTTAATTATCTGTTCACAACTTTTAAAAATGGCTAAACATGGCTGAGCGTGGTGGCTCATGCCAAAATCCCAGCACCTTGGGAGGACGAGGCGGGTGTATCACTGAGGATAGGATTTTGATACCAGCCTGGCTGATATGTGAAACTCCATCTCTACTAAGAAATACAAAAATCAGTCAGGTGCCGTGGCAGGCGCTTGTAATCCCAACTACTCAGGAGGCTGAGGGAGAAGAATCGCTTGAACCTGGGAGGTGGAGGTTGCAGTGAGCCCAGATTTCACTACTGCACTCCAGCCTGGGTGATAGAGTGAGACCCGTCTCAAAAAAGAAAAAAAGAAAGAAAGAAAAAAAAGCAATGGCTAAACATTATTTTTAAAATCAAAACCATTTCAAAGCCCTTACTTCACTGGATTCTCAGCCAGGGCTGCCCCCAGAGCAGAAGGCAGCTGTGGGAAGCAGAGGGGTGGCCTCACCTCCACCTGGAAGATTCCTGCTCAGATCCTGGGTCACCTGCCCCACTGATGATGCCCCAGCTGCTCCTGCTGGGAAGCCGAACCCAGAACCCCCTCAGGTCTGGTCCCCACTCCGCCCCCAGCACCCCTAGTGCGGTCATGTGGGAGGATGGGGCCCGAGGCTGCAGGGGCGGAAGCAGGTGGGTCAAGGCTCACTTCGCCCGCCTGCAGGTGTTGGTGTTTGTTTTTTAAACCAAACAGAGCGCAGAGGGGCGAGCAAGCAGAAGTGACTCAAACTCTGGGCGAGCCAGAGCCCGTGGAGGCGGCAGCTCTCTCAGCACTGGGGACATGCCCAAGGCTGGCTTTGGGGTCAAAGAATAATCAAAGATGACACTTTGGGGCTGCCCTCTCCCCAGCCCTCCTGGGCAAAGTCGGTGCATCCGAGGAGTCAGCCTGGACTCGAACCTCTGACACCCGACCGCTGCTGGCCTTGGTGCCGGGACCCGAAAGGGTGAGAGGACACAGGGAGGGGTGTGGAGGGGGAGAGCAGCCGGACTCTGCCCAAGCAATTTAGGCGCCTGCCTCATCTGTGGTCCCCCACACCCCCAGCTCACTGAGCAGTGGAACAGCCCCTGGACATCCCCAGGGAGACGGGGCCCAGGGATTTCGGTGAGGCCCTGTGCCCAGGCTGGCTGCGCCCCACCTGAGGGAAGAGTCACTCCAGCCCCTCTAGGCTGGTCCATGTGCAACCACGGTAGGACACAGGTCATCTCCATTGAAACGCAGAGGGAGGAAAGGTGTGCCTCCCTGCTCCTTCCCCATCCTCGCAGGGAGGGGCGGTTGCCCTTAGCAACGGGATGCCCACGTGGGATACTGGAAGTCTCAGCCTACCCCACCCCACCCCTCCAGGCCCAGTTTCTCCTGGGTACAAAGGGTTACTTCAGAGCTGTCGGGCCTCCACAGCAGTACATTAAATGTTCTGGAAACTAGGAGATATGGCACTGCTGTACAACGGTCAGGAATAGCCATCCTGTCCTCCTGACCCCGGGAAAACCAACTTCTGTTTGGAAGGAGCACAGGGTGGTGCCTGGCCTTTGGAGTCAGGAAGAACCAGGCTTAAGTAATAGAACTGCCTGACCTCCAGCTTGTCACTTCAGCTCCCAGGTCCGTTCTTGACTTGGGTTGACTGGGTGGGGCACATAAGAAGCTGCGTTCATTCTTTCTTGCCCATCAGGCATCCTGTGCTTTCAGGGTGCTGGGCGCTGTTTCAGGTCCCGGTACACAGCACAGAGGGAAGAGAGTGCCTGATGGCATGGTGATTGGTCTTAGTGGGGACAGCTAGACACTAAACCAGGAGTTCTGTCACGTCAGTTGGTGATAAATTCACTTGAAGAAATTTCCACTTCCAGGCAAGGTAGAACAGATGCACCTGTCCCCATGCCCTATACTAAGGACAGTTAAAATCCCTGTATATTTCCCTGGATATTACACATACGTATATAACTACGTACGTAAATGTATATATATATCAAACACTAAAAGGTGGAGAGAAGAAGGCAGACCAGTTAGGGACATTGGGACCTGAGGAATGACATGACAGGAGTTCCCTGGATTTTCCTTCTGCCTCATATATCTGTGACTGTGTGCTGGAGAAGCCAGCAACATGAAACACCAAAAGGCACAGACAAAAAACAACGACAAACCCAACAAGCTGGCCCTCAGCCAAAATAGGTAGGCAAGAGGAAGAAATAAAATGTATCCAAATTGGAAAGGAAGAAGCTAAATTGTCCCTGTTTACAGATGACATGATCTTAAAGAAAACCCTAAAGATTCCACCAACAAGCTGTTAAAATAAATGAAATCAGTAAAGTTGCAGGATATAAAACTAACATACAACAATCTGTAGCGTTTCTATACCCTAACAAATCAAGAAAACAATCTCATTTACAATAGCTACAAAAAATACTTGCGAATAAATCTAACCAAGGAAGTGAAAGATCTGTATGCTGAAAACTATAAAACATTTGTGAAAGAAATTGAAGATACAAATAATTAGAAAGTTATCCCATATCTGAGATCAGGTGCCAAAAAAAAAAAAAAGACATCCCATGTTCATGAATTGGAAGAATTAATATTGTTAAACTGTCCATAAAACCTCAAACAATCTACAGATTTAATGCAATCCCTATCAAAATTTCATTGACATTTTTCACCGAAATAAATAAAATAATCCTAAAATTCGTATGAGGGAGTAACACCCGCTCCACAGTGGCCAAAGCACTGTCAGGTGCCACACGCAGCCTGTAGGGACATGTGAACTGCAGTACTGGCCCCACCTAAAGTACCATAGAGGCCCAAGAGACATGAGCCAGGGCCATTTTAACTGTCAGTAATGGCCACAAAGACCCTTAAATAGCCAAGGCAATCTTAAGCTAAGAGCAAAGCTGGAGACAATACACTACCTAACTTCAAAATATACTACAAAGCTATAATAATCAAAACAGCATGGGATTGGCATAAAAACAAACAGACCAAAGGAACAGAATAGACAGCCCAGAAGTGAATCCATGCATTTACAGTCAACTGATTTTTGACAGAAATGCCAAGAAACACAATGGAGAAACGATAGTCTCTTCAATAAATGATGTTGGGGCCAGGTGCAGTGGCTCATGCTTATAATCCTAGCACTTTGGGATGCCGAGGTGGAAGGACCACTTAAGGCCTTCCTCCAGGCTCCGGAAGAGACCTCCTCCACGATCCCTTGTTTAAGGGGAAGCTTCCTCAGGACCTCACTGTGGGGGCTGAAGGTGGCCACCCCTCCAGGAACTTATGCCCCAGGCACTGAATTCCAGCTGCCTAAGTCTGTGTGCATGCGTCTGTGTTTGTGTGCATGTCTGCATGTCTATGTATCTGTGTGTGTGCATGTCTGCATGTCTATGTGTCTGTGTGTCTGTGTGTTTGCATGCATGTCTGTGTGTCTGTGTGGTCTATGTGTCTGTCTGTGCACTTCTGTATGTCTTTCTCTGTGCGTGTTTGCATGTGTCTCCGTGTGTCTCTGTGCATGTCTGTCTATATGTGTGTGTCTTTGTATCTGTGTCTGTGTGTGTCTGCATGCATGTCTTTCTGTGTGTGTCTTTCTGTGTATGTCTGTCTGTCTGTGTCTCTGTGTGTCTGTGTATGTAATGGTGCGTCTCTGTGGCAGGAAGAGGTGTGTGCGATTGTGTGTCTGTGTCTTTGTCTGTGTGTGTAATGGTGTGTCTCTGTGGAAGGGAGGGGGTGTGATGGTGTGTCTGTGTGTGTCTTTCTGTGTGTATGTATGTAATGGTGTGTCTCTGTGGCAGGGAGGGGGTGTGTGTGATTTTGTGTTTGTGTGTGTCTGTGTATGTAATGGTGTGTCTCTGTGGCGGGGGTGTGTGTGATTGTGTATCTGTGTATGTAACAGTGTGTCTCTGTGGTGGGGAGGGAATGTGTGTGATTGTGTCCATGTGTGTCTTTCTGTGTGTGTGTGTAATGGTTTGTCTCTGTGGCAGGGAGGGGGTGTGTGTGATTGTGTGTCTGTGTCTTTCTGTGTGTATGTATGTAATGGTGTGTCTCTGTGGTGGGGAGGGGTATGTGTGATTGTGTGTCTGTGTGTGTCTGTGTATGTAATGGTATGTCTCTGTGGCGGGGAGGGGTGTGTGTGATTTTGTGTCTGTGTGTGTCTTTCTGTGTGTCTCTGTGGCGGGGAGGGGGGTGTGTGATTTTGTATCCATGTGTGTCTTTCTGTGTGTCTCTGTGGCGGGGAGGGGGGGTGTGTGATTTTGTGTCTGTGTGTGTCTTTCTGTGTGTCTCTGTGGCGAGGAAGGGGTGTGTGTGATTTGAGGTGGGGGTGAGACCTAGGCTTCAGTTACTCGCAACAGGACAGACAAAGGAAGCCGCGTTTACCCGTTCTGCTAAAACCAACGGCAGGAGGGGGACGGGGCTGTCGGCAGCCCTCCCAGAGCCCCTGGCAGCTGCTCACGGGTTCCGGACCGCCTGGTGGTTCTTGGGCACCGCCACGAACCTCAGCTTCCTCAGGACCGCGGGCCAGCCCAGCAGCTGCTGGTCCCACAGGTACTCGGGGGAGAGCACCTTGGTGGGTTTGTGGCGCAGCAGGTACTTGTTCAGATGGCTCTCGTCGTGCCACACGGCCTCGATGCTGTTGGCCTGGTCGACCATCATGGCCTGGTGGCAGGCCCTGGTGAGCCGCTGCACCTCCTGCACCGACCCCCCGAAGAACGCCCCCATGTAGTAGAAATCACCCTCGTCCTTGGGGATGTAGGCCTGGGACTGGGGCCGGCGCTCGTAGGTGAAGGCCTCCCGGCTGCTTCCGTAGAAGGCGGGGTGCAGGGTGCCGAAGAGCGGAGTCAGGATCTCCACGCCCACGTGGTCGCGGAACTCCATGTCCACGTCCGCGCACACCAGGTAATCCACCTCGCTGAGGAAGCGCCGCTCGCAGAAGTCGCTGATCATCTCCATGCGGCGCATGGACACGTCCTGCCAGCGCTTATAGGCGCGCACCCCAAGCACCGACAGCTGCCGACCGGTCCCCAGCGCCACGCGCGGCACCGCGGCCGGCTGGTCGGTGAAGACGTAGTAGTGGACCCGGTGGCCCACCATGAAATGCTTCTCCGCCGTCTCGAGGAACAGCTTCAGGAAGGCCACGTATCTGCAAGGCAGGCGAACGAGGGGCTGGGGGAGCAGCCAGCCTTGTGCCCCTGGGCTGCAGGAGGCCCGCCCTGCGTGCACCCACCAGCGGCCATTGGAAGGCTCAGAGCAGCAGATGCACCACGTTCTCCTGCCCTGTCCTGAGCGACTGAGCACCACGTTCTCCTGCCCTGTTCTGTCCTCGGGCTCCGACTCACTTCATCCTCTTCTCAGTGATGGAGGGACCACCAGCACCCGCTCTTAGTAAAGAGGGCCGAGGGCAGGCGTCTGGAGGCTGGTAGCAGGCCGCAGGCTGGCGCCCGCTTACTTTCCCTCAGCCTGGCCTGAGCCATGCCTCCCCACAGAGCTGCCACTCTTACGGCCGGGCCGGCCACGTGCCCCCTCATTATAAGCTGCGCACGAGGCCCCCACACACCGGCCTCTACACCCTAGAGCTTCCCCCTCCCAGGCTTGAACTGCAGGTATTCCTAAGAGTAGGTCGTTCCTGGACTCCCCACTGGATCAGGAACCAGGCCTACCATGTGGGGGAAGGGAAGAAGGTGAACCCTGAAATAATAGGGGTGAGCAAGGGTTTGTTGAGGCCGCAAACCCCGAGTCCATGGTAGACCCTCTAGGCCCAAGTCAGGTGCCTCCCCCACCCCAGGACATTTTCTCCAACTGCCTCAGATGGCAGGTCCCTCCTTGAGGTTCCCCAGGGCCACCACCGTGGGGATGGGGGATCTCCCATCATTCAGCAAGTGTGCCCCTGAGGCCCCGAGTTTATGGAACAGGCATCGTGGCTGCTTTGCCCCAGCTGGCTCATTGGCAAACCACTCACAAAGGGTTTTACGGACCCGGCGAGCCCACGTGAGCTCAGTAAGATGCTGCGTGAATGAACTTTCCCATCTACCCTCTGGGAGGACAAGGCTGGCCGCCGCCCCACTCTGTCTTGAACACAAGGGGAGACCTCAGTGTCTGTGGTCACTTGTCACTGCCTGGGTCTCTGCCCTCAGCCACCTCATTGACTTACTTTTTGATGGCAAACACCTCACTGACTTACTTTTTGATGGCAAACACCTCACTGACTTACTTTTTGATGGCAAACACAGTTAACCCGATGGTGGTGTTCTGGAGCCTGAACTGCTCGTTGAGGATGTCGATGTTGAACGTGCCCTCCCAGACAATGGGAGCCAGCCAAGGGGTCACGACAAGGACGTCCTTCCTACTGCACATGGAGAGAGACGTGGGGTCACATGGAACTGGCAGGGTGCCACCCACATGCGCCTCTGGCACACGGCCATCCCCACTTGGAAACTCCACTCAGCTTCCGCCTCCTCTGACCACCCTTCCAGAGGCAGCCACCCTTCCCCAGGAAACCAGCCAGAGGCAAATGCGACTCCAACTGGGCGAATCATTCCCAGCCCTCCCTCAACATTGGACCTGCCGCAACACAGAGGAAGCTGAGCTTTGCTGGCAGACATAGGAACCACCCCTCCCCCGCACCCTCCCCCCGCTGCCCCTCCCCAGGAAGGAGGTACCTATTAGGCCTTTGCAGGGGCTTTGGTGAGCAAAGGGACAGGAAACAAGAGACACAAGTCAAAGAAAGCAAAGGGAAAGAGGACAGCCATGTGGGCCTCCGAATTCAGATGTCAGGAGAACCTGAGAGGAGGGAATGGCAAAGCAGCCCCAACTGAGATTTACATCAAGGAAACCGCCCTCTAATACCATCAGAACAGCCCCTTGAGCTGCGTTCAGTCTCAGCTTCAGTAACTTTACTCACCAGGGTGTCAGCACCTTTGGCTGGGGGTAGACCATCCTGCAAGCACAAAGCGCCGTCACGTGAGTTTGCGTGGAAAGCGTGGGATGCAGGTAAGCAGGGGGTGTGCACAGCTGCTGAACCGTGACTGGGCCTCAACCCTCCCGCCAAGGCCACACTCTCGGGCTGGAATCGCTGTGGCTGCCCGGGGGCTGTGTCAGCTCATAATCCCAGGACCTCGGGGAAGGGCCGGAGCTCAGAGTCTCTGGTTCAGCTCTTGTAAACTGGCAAGAGGGACCAAGTGACCTCAGGGGCCACTGCTTTCCACTTAAGGCTGGGAGGGATGTAAGGGGTTGTGTCTTAATTCACTGTGGGCAGACAGGAGGCTGGGTGTGTGGCCTCTGTCCTTCGTTGTTCCCAGGGAAAAGCCCTAAGATGTGCAGACTGCCCCACCTGGGCCCGAAGCCTGCTGGGCCTCCTTGTGGGCTGGTGGCTTCCAGAGCCCGGCCTCCTCTCTGAGAAGTGGGGGAGTAACACCTGCTCCATGGTGGCACGAAGCACTGTCAGGTGCCACACGCAGCCTGTGGGGACGTGTGGGCCACAGTGCTGTCCCCACCTAAAGTACTGTAGAGGGCCAGGAGACATGAGCCAGGGCCATTTCAACTGTCAGTAATGGCCACAATTTGAATGTCCAAGATGGCCTTTGAAAGCAGGGAGTCAGCAGAAAACAGGAAGGAAATTCTGACACTTGGTACAACCTGGATGGACTGTGAGGACATCACGCTCAGTGATTTCAGCCCGTTATAAAAAGACAGTTACCGTTGATTCCACTTATAAAAGGAAGTTCGAGTAGTCAGACTCGTAAGAACAGACCATGGAATGGTGAGCTGGGGCAGGGGAAACGGGGTTGTTATTTTATGGGGACACAGCTTCAGTTTTGCAAGATGAAAAGAGTTCTAGAGATGGATGGTGGTGATGGCTGCACAGCGATGTGAATGGACTGAACACTCCAAAATGACTAAGATGGCAAATTTTATGTTAAGTGTATTTTACCACAATTTAAAAAAAAATCAAAAGCAGTGTGGCCAGCTTGGCATTGATTGCCTAGACTTTCTCGTCAGCACTGATATAGGCCCACATCCTGGGAAACAGGCCCCCAAGGCCCCAGACAGAACAGACCAGCTCGTCATCCTCTTTAAAAGCCAATTTGAAGGCCAGGTACAGGGGCTCACGCCTGTAATCCCAGCACTTTGGGAGGCCGAGGCAGGCGCATCATTTGAAGTCAGGAGTTCAAGACTAGTCTGGCCAATGTGGTGAAATGCTGTCTCTGCTAAAAATACAAAAATTAGCCAGTTGTGGTGGTGGGCACCTGTAATCCCAGTTACTCGGGAGACTGAGGCAGGAAAACCACTTGAGCCCGGGAGACAGAGGTTGCAGTGGGCAGAGATGGTGCTACTGCACTCTAGCCTGGGCAACAGAGTGAGACTCCATCACACACACGTACACAAAAGCCAGCAACACGCAGCTGGTCAAAACTGAAGGTCCAGTTCCATCATGCTCTCTGAGTAGCTGCAGGACGAGGGCCAAGTCAGGGCAGAGACTGGGGAACGAACAGCCTCCACCCTCGGAGCCACAGGAGGAAAGAGGACCTGCCCCAGCTCCCACATGCTTCTGTCCACACGCACACATGTGCCAGGGCTGCAGGACAATTCTGTGACATGGGAGGCACTGACATTATACCTTGGCAATGAGACACGCTGCAGACCGTCTGGTTCCCTAAAAGCCGTGCTGCAGAATGAGAACACAGGAGATGAAGTTTATTCCAGGAGCAGGATTTAGGGCACAAGTGCATGGAAGCCAGCTGAGGGTCCCAGTGGAAGGGACATAGTGTCAGCCCTGGAGTGTGGAGCAGAGTCCACCAGAAATAGTCACAGAACAGCCATCACTGTGGCGATGGGCCTGGCATGGGCCCATGTGCCAGACCCTGTAACGGCCAACACTGCAGTCTGAGGTCTACGTTCGTGGAGCCTCACAGCCCACACATTCACCAGACATATCAAAGCCAAGGCCGGGCAGAGTGGAGTTTCAGAACATGTCTGCAAACCGTGAGGCCCCCTCCCATCAACAGATGGGGTCTGATATTCCGTGTTTCTAAGAAATAAAATGCAGCAGAAGTGATGCTGGGTGACTTGTGAAGCCAGGCCCTAAAAGGCGATCTGGTTTCTGTCTCATCTTTTTTGGGATGTTGGTCTTGGAGCCTCCCAACAAAGCTGAGCAGGAGCCCAGGCCCCGGAGAGAGGCCCTAAGTAGGTGTCTCAGCTGAGAGCCAGCATCAACTGCCGGAGACACAGGGCAGTCTTTGCAATGACCCCAGCCACCGTCTGCCAATGCCTGCTGAGGCCCCAAAGTGAACCACCCAGCTGAGCCCAGTCCGCCCCAGGAGGCCCAGGGAAAGATAGTAATCAATGATTGTGATTGCTTTCCATGGATGGGGTGGTGTGTTCTGCAGCCATGGATCACTGACACAAGTGGAAATTAGCAGACACGGCAGGGGAGAGACAAGAGTGGTCCCAGCAGAGGCCATAGCAGAGGCAAAGGCCTGGAGTCATGACAGCACGGCAGGTGGATGAGTGACAAGCCACTTTGGCTGGAGCATAGAGGGCGAGGGCAAAGGAGGGAGAGATGAGGCTGGAGAGGTCAGGAAGGTGGGATCAGACCATGAAGAGCCTCCTACCTTATATTCTGGAAAGATCACTCCAGCTGCTGTGAGGAGAAGGGGGACAGGGCTGACGGGGATGGGGAGACAAGTCTGAGGCTGTCGCAGAGATGAGGGCAGCCCCACCAGACCCCTGGAGCAGGACATTGAAGGCAGAGAGGCCAGTGGGCATGCGAGCTGCTGAAGAGCAGGGCTGGCAGGATTTGGGAACCCAGTGTAGGGGTGAGGGCAAAGGGAGAATTGAGGATGGCTGGTGGAAGGTGACTCGGGAGGCTGGGTGAGGGCAGGGAGCAGAGACCATGTGTGGTAACTCTGGGTAAGCCTGGAGTTGGGGACTGGAGGTCAGAAGGGAGGTCAAGGCTGACTCCAGAGATGTGGAGGCAGACGTATCCAGGTGACCCTTCAAGGCCACAGAGTTGACCACGTCTATGCTGGGCAGAGCATCGAGAGGGGGCCTAGGCCTACCCATGTGTATGCCCAGAAGAGGGAGTGGGAGTTCCCAGAGTGGGACCCCAGCCCACAGCCAGCACCCCGGCCAGCATGGACGCTCCACCTGCCCTTCCCTGCACTCACCAGAACCCCCGTTCCAGGCTTCCTGGCATTAGGCTTCTGGGGCTTAGGACCCCGTAACTGCAGGAAGGAATTGTGCCAAGACTCAGGACACAGAACCAAGACTGCCTGTTCATCCCTTCCTCCAAAAAGCGCATGGTGTGGCCAGCAGCATGAGCACAAGAGTTCCTGGTGAAGCTGCAAGGCCTCGAGGCAGGCAGGGCAAGTTCTCAGCAAAGCTCAGGCGCCTCGCCACGTCCCACACTGGGAGGTGGGTAGGACGGTGGTCCCTGGGATATTGCTCATGTATGGGCACCTGCAGGAGCGGCGGAGCCCCACCCCGCACCACCCGTGCGTTGGTCAGTGTAGTCCCTAAGGCCACCTCAGGCAGTGTTTCCAGGCCGTATCCACAGAAACCCCAGTAGAGCGGGCAGGTGACTTCATTCTGTGGTTCTGGGGCCTTCTGTGTCTGGAGGTGACTAACAGCTTGGGTCCCAGATTTGCCTTCCCCATCGCCAGCCACACAACTCTGGGCAAGAGGCTTGCTCTCCCAGCCCCAGACTCCCCACTCAGGAAAATTTTAAATGGGAGGGAGATGAGCCCGTTGCCCAGGTGAGGCTTAAATAAGGGAGCAAGTAAACACACCCTCCACCAGAGCTGGACGCGGGCAGCAACTGTCCTTAGGACCCTGATGACTGCAATATTTGGGGGACTCAGGGGGGCCCCATGGGTCTGATTGGCTGCTGTGGCCACTTCTCCCCAAACCAGGCCAGCCTTGATGGTCAAGTGTGTCTTACCCAAACAAGACCAAGACCAGCATCATTAAGAAAAGGATCATAGGTAGAAATGTGTAGCATTTTGGTTTTCCTGGAAAACAGGAGTGGAAAAATCAGATTACTCACCTTCCTTGTCTCACCTGCCCCACTTTACCTGTCCTGTCTTGTGATTCAAGCCCCACGCCCTGTGACGGGCCTTCACCTGCCAAGACAGTCCCTCTGCCCCACAGGTGATGCTTTGAGCCTTACCTGAGCATCTCCAAACCCAGTCCAGATCCAGCCCTCCTCCCACTCAGAGAAAAGGGAGGCAGTCTGCTCCTCCCAGCTCATCAGCCCGACTGCTCCTGCAGACTCTGAGAGTCACCCCGGCTTCCCAATGACCTCCTTCCACTCAGCACCCCCTTCCCCTGGGAGACCGGAACGAACCACACTGAAATGGCACCTCGAGGTCACCATTGAATCCACCGAGGGAGGCCAGGACAGCCTCATGGCCAGGCTGAGCCAGGAGCCCAGACCAGTTCCTGCCAGTGAGAGGAGCCACCAACTTCCCCTAGTATCTCCCTGCCCTCTCAGAGGCTCCTGCCCTGGAAACAATCATTGTCTTTCTTTTAAGGTGATTTTTATGTATATTAAAGTCATGTACAGTAGTTCCCCCTTATCCACGCCTTTGCTTGCCAGAGTTTCTGTTACCCATGCTCAACCAAAGCCCAATAATAGGTGAGTACAGTACAGTAAAATATTTTGAGGACAGGTCTGGTGGCTCGTGCCTATAATCCCAGGACTTTGGGAGGCTGAGCCAGGAGAATTGCTGGAAGCCAGGAGTTCTAGACCAGCCTGGGCAACATAGTGAGAACTCATTTCTGTGAAAAAAAAAAAAAAAAATTAGCGGGGCATAGTGGTGCACACCTCGGGTCCCAGGAGGCTGAGGTGGACTAGGAGGTGAAGGTTGCAGTGAGCCATGACTGCACCACTGCGCTCCCGCCAGGGTAGCAGAGTGATTGCTTTAAAAATAAACAAAACAGCCGGGTGTGGTGGTTCAAGCCTGTAATTCCAGCACTTTGGGAGGCCGAGACGGGCGGATCATGAGGTCAGGAGATCGAGACCATCCTGGCTAACACGGTGAAGCCCTGCCTCTACTAAAAAATACAAAAAAACTAGCCGGGCGAGGTGGCGGGTGCCTGTAGTCCCAGCTACTCGGGAGGCTGAGGCAGGAGAATGGCGTAAACCCGGGAGGCGGAGCTTGCAGTGAGCCGAGATCTCGCCACTGCACTCCAGCCTGGGCGACAGAGCGAGACACTGTCTCAAAAAATAAAATAAAATAAAATAAAATAAATAAATAAAACAACAAAACCCCCACAAACTAAGATATATATACATATTTTTTTAGAGAGAGACCACATTCACATAACCTTTATTACAGTATATTGTTTTCGTTTTTGAGACAGAGTTTCGCTCTTGTTTCCCAGGCTGGAGTGCAAAGGGGCAACTGCGGCTCACTATGGCCTCCGCCTCCGGGGTTCAAGCAATTCTCCTCCCTGAGTCTCCCAAGTAGCTGGGTTTATAGGCATCCACCACCACGCCTGGCTAATTTTTTGTATTTTTAGTAGAGATGGGTTTCACCATGTTGGCCAGGGTGGTCTCGAACTCCTGACTTCAAGTGATCCACCTGCCTCGGACAGTATATTGTTATAATTGTTCTATTTTATTATTAATTATGGTTGTTAATCCCACCCTGTGCTTAATTTCTCGGAACGTATCCCCCGCAGTAAGAGGGGACTTCTGTTTTCACAAGGGCAAGCCTGAAGGGCGTCTATCTCCCGGCCCAGTTCCTATTCCTTCCCCTGGAATCAGTCCCTTTCAATTAATTCATCTGTTACTTCTTATCTTATAATACTTGTGTGTATTTACCTCCACCTTTCTAAATCCTGTGACCATGAAACAATTTATCTCGAATAGCTTCCTGAAACAGAAACGTGGGAGGCAACATTTGAACTTTACATGCCCTAAATGATTTTTACCATTTTTGTAGTTGGTAGATTGTTTGGCTGTAGGGAAATCTCAGTGGAAATAATTTTCCTTCAATTTGGCAAAAATGGTTCCATTTTTAAAAACTTTAAAAATCAATTTCATTTGAGGGAGAACTTACATCCAATGAAATGTACTCACTTTAGGTATACGGTTTTGATGAGTTTCACACAATGTAGGTACACGTGTAATCAGCACCCCAAACAACATATACACATTTTCATCACCCC